AAATCTAAGTGCTATTGCTAACTGCTATATTTAACACACACAGAGAGACACACCTCAATTGTTTTCTTCTGATGGGGTTCTCCGTAGCAAAGTTGTTGGGTGCAATCGGGGGTACCTTAAGGCACGGCGCTCCCCGTTCCATGAGTTCACCCCTCTTTTAAGGAAAGGGGAGGGGTGGCTGGCCATCCCTTAGACTCAGGCCAAAGGATTGGACCGAACTCTTCCCTTTAGAGAGAGCAGGAAAAAACGGGAGCTATTCGCTTCCCTAATCGTGTCAGTTTGGCATGAAGCAGGAACTGGCCATGGCTACTTTGGAGACAAATGCTATTTGGTAGCAGCCGGGAGAGAGCCGAAGGATTGTGGCAGGTTTCTCTCTCCCCCCCCCCCCCCCCAACACACAGACTCCCCCCAAGCACAGATTTCTTAGAGCTTTCTTGTTCAGAAGGGTGATTTGGGAGGTTGGAGGGAGGCATTGTCTCCTGAAGATTCTCTTTGCAAGAAACATCTTGTACAATAATTTGGGGGGTCTTCCTTCCCTCTCTTTTCCCTCCCTCTTTCTTCTCCTTCCTTCCTTCCTTCCTTCCTTCTCTTTTCCCTCCCTCCCTTCCTTCTCTTCTTTCTGCCTTCTTTCCTTCCTTCCTTCTTTCATTCTTTTCCTTCTCTTCTTCCTTTCCTCTCTTTTTCCTCCCTCCTCTTTCCTCCTTCCTTCCTTCCTTCTCTTTTTCCTCCCTCCTTCTTACTCCTCTTCTTCCTTCCCTCTCTTTTCCCTCCCTCCTTCTTCTCCTTCCTTCCTTCTCTTTTCCCTCCCTCCTTCTTCCTTCTTTATTCCTTCTTTCCTTCCTTCCTTCTTTCTTTCATTCTTTTCCCTCTCTTTTTCCTTCCTTCTCTTTTCCATCCTTCCTCCTCTTTCCTTCTTCCTTCTCTTTTCCTCCCTCCTTCTTCCTTCCCTCTCTTTTTCCTCACTCCTTCTTCTCCTTCCTCCTTCCTTCTCTTTTCCCTCCCTCCTTCTTCCTCTTCTTTCTACCTTCTTTCCTTCCTTCCTTCTTTCATTCTTTTCCTTCTCCTTTTCCTTCCTTCTCATTTTCCTCCCTCCTTCCACATTCTCTCTTTCCTTCTTCTCTTTTTCCTCCCTCCCTCCCTCCTCCTTCTTCTTCCTCCTTCCTTCCTTCTCTTTTCCCTCCCTTTTTCCTTCTGTTCTTTCTACCTTCTTTCCTTCTTTTCCTTCTCTTTTTCCTTCCTTCCTCATTTTCCTCCCTCCTTCCACATTCTCTCTTTCCTTCTTCCTTCTCTTTCCCCCCCTCCTTCCTTTCTTCCTTCCCTTTTTCTTNTTCTACTCTACTCTTCATTCTATTCTATTTCCTCATTCCTCTATTCTATTCTTTTTCCTTCCTATTCCATTCTATTCTGATTCCATTCTATTCTCCTTCCTTCCTATTCTATATTCTCATTCTATTCTATTCTATTCTCCTTCCTTCCTATTCTATTCTATTCTCTTTCCATTCTATTCTATTCTTCTTCCTTCCTTCCTATTCTATTCTATTCTATTTTATTCTCCTTTCTTCCTAGTCTATTCTATTCTTCCATCCTATTCTATTCTCCTTCCTTTCTATTCTATTCTATTCTTCCTTTCTATTCTATTCTATTCTCCTTCCTTCCTAGTCTATTCTACCCTACTCTACTCTTATCCCAGTGTTATCCTTGAGATGCACAGATTCTCATCGGTGGCGTGGAGAGCCTGGGATTTTGGGTCAGCACGGCTGAGCCCCTTTGCTTCTCCAGCATGCCCCTGAATGCTAATCGAAAGTGGAAAGGACAAGATGCAAAGCACCAGGGAAAAGAGGGGGGGGGGCGGCAGAAGAGAACCACGGGCTCCTAGTTAACCCACCACGTTTTGTGTGTGTGTTTTTATAACAAGCAAAGCCATCACACCACACTTTTGTTCCATCCTCACCTTGCGAGATTCCAGCTTTGCTTTAAGCTGCTCTTTCAAGACAGCAATGTTGTCTCCTCTACTGGACTTGTGTATGTGTGTGTGTGTGTATGTGTGTTAATGCCGAAAGGCGAACGGAGGCCACGAGGAGGCCGCCAGGGAGGGACTCCGAGGAGAGGGAGAGAGAGAGGGAAACGTGTGGATTCATGTAGAGGCTTCATCATGTTCCACTTATCCGCCGCCCCTCCACCCGCCCGACGAAATTCGGCAGATGGATGCTTGGTCATGCCGTTGGCGCAGAGGGGTTAACTCCTCGGATTCAGCTTTCTATCGTTTTCACGAGAGCGTTGACAACACTTTTACCGTGTTTATTCCCCGATGTGCGTGCTCCAGCCCAGCGGCTTCCCCGAGCCCTGTGCTTTGGCGGGGGGGGGAGGGTGGGAGAGAACGTTGGATAAAACAGCACCTTTCCGGTCGGAGTGCGCATCAAATATTCATGGAATCTCCGATTTGCACATCGGGGTTGATAAATGGCTCTGACGCGGAGTTGGGGCGGCGGGAGAAAACAGCTGCTTTGTTGGGGAATCGGCCGAGAAATTGTGCCACTTTCCCCCTCCTTGCATATATCTACGTATAATCGGTCCTCGACTTACGACTGCCATTTAGCTCCGGGTTTCTGTGGCTGAGCAAGAGAGCCCGTTGTTTAAGGGAGTCGGGCCCCATTTTAGCACCTGCTGTGCCAGGGTGGTTAAGCCAATCCCTGCGGTCGTTAAGTAAATCATGTGGTCAATAATGTATTCAATGTACACGAATGGGATGATTTGAATCCTATGTATAATTGTAAGCATCGACCATGTTATACTGGTAAGATTCTTATATGTTAAATGGACTAATGATGATGTAATGAATAATTGATACATATATGAATTGAAATGTTCAATAACTACTTGGATTAGCAATGGGAAACTATTTCTGGAGTTGAATATGCTACACTATAAGTATTGTATATACTCTATGGATGATTAATATTAGCGGTAACTTGAACACATAATGTTCAATGATAATGATGTATTTAGTTATGTTTGATGGATAACCAGTGATCATTATTTTTAATTGTAAAAACTGTTGCACAAAAGTTTGTAACCAAAC